AAGGCAGTCGCTTAACCAACTGAGCCACCCAGGCGCCCCATAAATAAAATCTTTAAAAAATAATAATAATTTATGGAAAAAGTTTTAACTTTTGGATCTATGTTGGATAATCAAAAGTGCAGCCTAACTTCCTTACTGCACAAAACTGAGTTTTCTGTACCTCTCTTCTTAGAAGATTTATTGTATAAATTCTTTGCTAGGCTAATTTTTTAAAATATCACTTAGATACATACATGTGTATTTTCAAAATTCTGTACACAATATTAAGAACAGTAACTTTCATTTAGGTCTTACCTGGTACAGTGACTCAATTTCATAGTACAATGAGTATGAATGAGATGTCAGTATGAATACAAAAGCAAGCCTACAAACTGATGTTTTCTTTTTGGGTTTGTTTTTGGTTGGTTGGTTGTTTTATGATCAGTTCCAAACATAGTACAGGGAAAATGGAATGAGTAAGAAAAAACGTATTTTATTTCCCCGTTAACACCAAGTCATATTATTCAGAATGTGTTTCAAAATACTTAGCCAGATCACCAATCCCAGCCACTGCCTTAGTTCAAATGTTCACTAAGAAAATAAGCAACAGAAATCCATTGTGAGACACCATCTATAGAGATCAGCTACATTGCTATATATCATTTATTAACTTAGTAATTTAGTCTCCCAATATTTAGCAAGTTTGTGTAAAAATTACTATTCCCATTGGTTTATAGTGACATTAATATAAATGCATAATTTCAAAGTCAACATTCCTTTCACTATGAACATAAAACTTAAAAAGATAGTTGTGGGTTAAAGTAATGACTGGCTGCTGGGATAGCACTATTCAAGGCCAAATACACTGGCAGGCTTGGAAAGGCATAAATATATATACACATACACCTCAATTTGCTACTATTTCCCACATTTCTGCTATACATCCTTGTTGTATAATATGGTATAAATTATTTCCTCAAATTTGAAAAAAAATCAAGATGAGTATGTTTTCATCTTCATTTCAAAATAACCCTTTTAAATGAAAAAAAGTTCCCATTTGTTAAGTCTGTTCAAGAAATGGATTTAAATATTTTCTTCACTACATGTATAATTTTTTTTACCCTTAGTGCCTCATTACAACCAGTTTAGCAATAAGACCTCCAGTGCTTTGTTGAAAATTGCATTCAGTAGATTAAAAGGCTGTAAAATCTGCAGTTGAATCTTTAAGACACTGAATCATAACAAAGTCCAAAAAATGTATGACCATCAACACTCTTGGAAGCTGTGAATTATTGCAAAAAAAACAAAAAACAAAAAAAACCCCACACACAAGTGCATATAATTCAAACATAAACTTTGTGGGGAAGGGATGTAAAATAAATACTACAGTATTTTTCAACTCTATTTAAATGTTATTTAGATGCTTAGATGAAAGGATTAATACTACTAACAAGAAGAACCAAACTATTTTAAAGACTGCTCTCCAAGTAATTAGAACAATTTTGCAAAACAAAGATAAGCCACAGCCTATGCTAATACATTTTTCCTGTAGTGTAATGTAATTGCTAATATGAGGTATAATCTGTAAGCAATTAATACAAATATAAATAGGTATAAGCCACACTAACTCAAGTCTAGTGAAAAGCTTCTCAGCTAATGTAGTACGGATAGGGAATTAAGGGATATGAGAACGGAAGGACAGGGCAGGTTTCCAGTGGGAATGTCATTTCCATGCCTTATCACTATCATCGTCTTGTATTTAACAGTCCGCTGTTGCTGAAAGGTAAATCCTTTCCAAGTATGCTGGTCTAGAATATACTTTATGTAGCACAGTAAGATTATATAAGTATTACTAATACTTCACTTCAATTTATATTTGGCTTATACACATAATCATATGTGTATCAAAACCTATAAACAGAATTTTAAAACATTTTCATCTCATTTTTGAAAAGTTAACAGTTAAGACTGAACTGTGTACTACAGAATTTTCTAGAATATCTAACCTAGGGGTAAAACCAAAGGAAAATATTACTATTTCTTTAGTAAACAGCTTGTGCGAAACCTCAAGCTCACTCATCTTTTTATAGATGGGTTTATTTGATGAGGATTGTGATCCAATGATTGTTTAGCAGCAATTTTACCAAACTGTAAATTCTTTTATTAACAGGCATTATAAACAGATAATACTAATCTTATTTAAAAACCATGAGTGCCACACTGGTGAATATACAGCTCATGAATAACTTAAAAAGTATTTCCCATTTTAAAAGGCAACACTCAGCATACAAAAACCTATACTAAACAAAGAAGCTATAATATGGATACATGATTGATGTGTCTAAAATGATATATATACAGTACATAATTATTGTTAATTATGTGATCAGTACATTTTTTTCTATATGATTCCCTTCATGCTTCACTTTCCCCAGAAACTGAATTCTGAACTTCCTCTTCTAAAATTGGTACAATCAGGTTATCCTTGGACATCAAATTATATTTCATCACAAATTTGGTAAACCGGTGACACAAAAATGTTTCGTTCTGTAGAGAGAAAGAAAAAAAGTTATTTTAACTTACTATTCAAAACCAAAAAACTAGACATAACATCAACATATATTATTGTCATTCTGATAAGAATGCATCAGGAGAATTAGTGAAATATACTTACTTCATATTCATCAAATATCTGCCGATGATGAAAATAAGCATGTGAAAATATTCTGTAAATCCTACGGCATACTGATCCTAGTTTTGCTACAGATGATTCCTTTATGCTAACCCTAGAAATAGGAAAGAAATCAGATTCGTAGAGCTGGGCAGATCTTACAAACAATACAGTCTAATCTTCTCAATCCACAAGCGTGGAAACTTACACCTAGGGGAAAAAAGTGACCAGTGCAAGGTCACAGTGCTAGCAGGTGGCAAGAGTAGGGCTAGGACCCCTGTTCTTTACTCCTGGGCCAGTGCTCTTTCTACCTAACCACAGTGCCTAAGAAATTCAGTATCACAAGTTTTGGAACGTTGTTAAAGTTCAATGCAATTAAATCCCTGACAAATCAAAATTTACTAAAACGTAGCACTGACAACATTAACACTTTGCCCACTACAGATGATTAAAACCACTAAAAGGAGTTTTTTATTCTATACAACTTCATTTTTTTTTTTTTTAATAAAAAATGCCTACAAATTTTGGTATTTAAAAAAACGTAAAAAAAAAAAATGTAAGGGCGCCTGGCTCAGTCAGTGGAGCGGGCGACTCTTGATCTCGGGGTTGTGAGTTCAAGCCCCATGTCAGGTGTAGAGATTACTTAAAAAATAAAAAATTTTTAAAAATGTACATAGAATACTGAAGCAAAAAACAGTATTTTTTTTTTAACATATTTTACATGAGCTCTATATTTGGGGGAAAGAATCTCCAAATCTATCCACCTGGTAACAGATATCTTAATAGAATAAAAGGCCACTCAACAAACCTCTCCAGTAATATATCACAATATAGAGAAGCTTCTTTCCAGATCTTAAAAACCTGTAGGCGAGGATAAGGAATCCTTCAAAAACAAGCAGTCCAACTTAGGAAATTCTGCTTTTTAGGCATGCTGTGTAAGAGGATGCTAGCTCTATCACAGAGATTCAAGTAAATAAATGTGTAAATATTCCAACCCTAAAACATGAGAGGGAGAGCCCTGGAGAATGACACACAGCAGCAGGGACTACACCCTTGACTAAACTGACCTGTGAGCTTTGGGAGCCAAGTCCTGCTGCTTTTAGTTTAACCACAACCTTAATTTCAAAATCTGAGTAATTTTGAACTAGCTAAATATACAACAGCCTTAAAAAAAAAAAAAAAGTTTAAAGAATACAATGCATTAACAGCAACCTAGTGTGTTTTAATAAAAATACCAATCTTTTAAATTAAATCCAAAAAGTTTAACACCATTTAAAAATTTTATTTACCTGCTGGGAAAATATTTATTGCTATTCAGAAGACATGCAGCACCATCAAGTGTATGTCTAGTATAGTCTATTGCAGGACACTATAAAAGAAAGGATATAAAAAATGTATCATACCTCTTACATGAGGTCTGTTTATTATATACTTGTCTTATTCCAAAAACCTGAGCATGTTTGAAGAAAAAAGTCTCTTACGGTATCAGAATGACTGTAAAATTCAATGTTACAACAAATAAAGTTACATTAAAGAAGTAAAAAACAGTTGAAATTAATATTAATGATATATTTAACTCTATATAGCCAAAATTATGTCAACATATAATTGATATAAAAATTATTAATGAGCTTTGGGGTATTTAAAAATTAAGATGTAATTCACATACCATAAAATTTCTTTTAAAATATACAACTCTCAAGTTTTCAGTATATTTACAAATTTATGTAACCATCACCAACTACATTCCTGAACATTTTCATCACCCCAAAAAGAAACCCAGTATCAATTAGCAGTCACTTCTCATTCTCTCCTCCCCCTAACTTGAAGCAACAATTAATCTACTTTCTGTCTTCCATGGATTTGCCTGGGTATTTCTGGGTATTTCCTAAAAATAGAGTAATACGGGGATGCCTGGGTGGCTCAGTCAGTTAAGCCTCGGACTTCTCTGATTTCGGCACAGGTCATGATCTCAGTCATGAGACAGAGCCCCACGTTGGGCTTGGAGCTGGGCATGGAGCCTGCTTAAGATTCTCCCTCTCTGGGGCGCCTGGGTGGCTAAGTCATCAACCGTCTGCCTTTGGCTCAGGTCATGATCCCAGGGTCCTAGGACTGAGTCCCGCATCGGGCCCCCGGCTCAGCAGGAAGCCTGCTTCTCCCTCTCACACTCCCCCTGTTTGTGTTCCCTCTCTTGCTGTGTCTCTCTCTGTCAAATAAATAAAAATAAAATCTTAAAAAAAAAAAAAAGATTCTCCCTCTCCCTCTGCTCCTCCCCCTCCCCCCACCCACATGGGCTCTCTCTCAAAAAAACAAAAACAAAAAAGGAATAATATGTGGCCTTTTGTGTCACTTAGCATGTTTTCAAGGCTCATCCACAGTGCAGCATAAGTATTTTATTTTTCTTTTATTCAGAATCTTTTTACACTTTAATGTTTCTAATATACAAAAAATGCTGTAATCCCTTATAGATGTCATTCCTTTTTATGGCTGAATAATATTCCACTGTGTGCATATACCACATTTTGTTTGTTTACTCATCATTAGTTATTGAAAATTTGGTTGAAACGTGTTTGGCTATCGTGAACAGTGTGACTATATTAGTGTACAAGTTTTGTATGGACATATGTTCTCATTTCTTTTGGGTATATACCTAAGAGTGGAATTGCTAAGTCATAACTATGCTTACCTTTTTAAGGAACTTCCAAACTGTTCTCCAAAGTGGCTACTACAGTATTTTACAGTCCTATCATAGCAGTGTATGAGGATTCTACTATCTCAACATCCTGGCCAACACTGGTTATCTTTTATATTTTAATCATTCTAGTGGATGAACTGTATGCCATTGTGGAGTGTATCTTTTCTTTTTCCATTAAAAAAAATATGGTAAAATATATTTCAGATGAGGGCGCCTAGGTGGCTCAGTTGGTTAAGCAACTACCTTCGGCTTAGGTCATGATTCGGCTTAGGTCATGATTCGGACTCCCTGCTCAGCAGGGAGTCTGCTTCTCCCTCTGACCCTCCCCCATCTCGTGCGTTCTCTCTCTCTCTCTCTCATTCTCTCTCTCTCAAATAGTCTTTTAAAAAAATATGATTCAGATGAATTCTGCCATTTCAACCTTTTTTAAATGTACAACCCAGTGACAATTACATTCACTATTGTGCAACCATCACTACTATGTGTTTCCAACCAAAGGTTTTTGTTTTTTAAAAGATTTTATTTATTTATTTGACAGAGAGAGAGACAGTGAGAGAGGGAACACAAGCAGGGGGAGTGTGAGAGGGATAGGCAGGCTTCCCGCTGAGCAGGGAGCCCGATGCCCGGCTTGATCCCAGGACTCTGGGATCATGACCTGAGCTGAAGGCAGACACTTAATGACTGAGCCACCCAGGCACCCCAACCAAAGGTTTTTCATCATCCCAAACAGAAACTCTATAAACCATTAAGCAACAACATCCCATGCCCACCATCATTTCTAGATATTTCATGTAAGTGGAATCATACAGTATCTGTCCCTTTTGTGTCTGGCTTATTTCACTCAGCATAATGCCCTCAAGGTTCATCAACATTGTAGCATATATCAGAACTTCACTCTCTTTTTTGGCTGAATAATATTCCATTCTATACATTGTTTATCCATTTTCATTGTGGTTTTGATGATTAATGATGTTGAGCATCTTTTTTATGTTTACTGGACATTTGTTTTTCTTCTTTAGAGAAATGTCTATTCAAATCTTTTGCTCATTTTTTAATTGGATTCTCTTTTAACTGTTTAATTGCAAAAGTTCTTTATGTATCTGAATACCAGACCATTATCAGAGATATGATTTATAAAAAAATATTCTTCCCATTCTGTAGACTGTCTTTTCATTTCTTGACAGTGTCCTTTGAGGCAAAAATTCTTAATTTTGATAAAATCTGATCTATATTTTCTTCTTTAATTTGTGCTTTTGGTGTCATATCTAAGAAATCAGTGCCTAGTCCAAGGTCATGAAGAGTTACACATGTTTTTTCTAAGAGTTTTATAATTCTAGTTATTATATTTGGGGTTTTGATCCATTTTGAGCTAAATTTTACATAAGGTGTGAGGTAGCGGTCTAACTTCATTCTTTTGTATGCAGATATCCAGTTATCTCTTAATGAGCTATTTGACATTGTCTTTTAGTATTCTTTGAAATCAGTATTTTACTTTACACTTAGAACACATCTCAGATTGGACTATCAACATTAAATGCTCTGTAGCCACCTGTGGTTCATAGCTATTGTTGTATCAGCATAACTTTAGATCTTTAACTGGTTTCTGAAAAAAAATTTTTTTGGAGTGGGGGGAAAGGTTTTACCTTGTTTTAGCTGCTTCCTTCCTTTTCTCACCATTAATCAGTCATTAATTCTCAGTTAACTCATCCTACTTTGTATCATTTTTAACAGCAAAAAGTTGGCAAAATACTCATTACCAAATACTAACAAACTTTTATAAATTCTATTTTGCCAAGTATCTATGTATAATGCTACTGCAGTCTGCATGTGACAAAGGATGAGCAGATAATAACATGTTATAACCTTTGTCACTTATCACTGTGTACAATTAACTCAATTTGCTTCTTTAATTCTCAAGGACATTGAGTAAATCATCACTGGTGGGGAGTATCCTGCCTCTTCCACTTCAGAATCCTCCCCATTCTTTTAAACCAGAAGAGCAACTTTCTTAGCTACTCATCTGTTAGCTGCTATTATTTCCTGCCTGCAAAATTATTCCAAGAGTTCAGAAAGTATCTTTTCAAGATTTTCTTTTGTTTGTATTTTTCCAAAAATCCCTCTCCATACAACTACCACTTGAAAATTCTACCATTATCCGCCCTTGACACATGGACAATTCAAATGGAGCTTGTCTTCAGCAAGAAATGTTGCACTTTTAAGACTCATTCACATGACCTAATGCTATCTTACATTTAATATTAATCAAGAAAAAAGTAGATGCGACAAGGAGAGTATACATAAATCTCACAATACATCAAAACTGGGTATCTTTTCCACTCTAAAGTGAGAATAATGCATCTTCATTATTTGCCAAAATCAAACTAGCCTTCTTGATTTAATTTCCTAATTGCAACTAAATAGCCAATTTCAGTAAATTATCAATAAACTGCTATGTGGGTTTTCCCAGATACAAAATGATACACAAATCTTAATATTGCTTCAATTAACTAACACAAAAGAAGTAACACCCTGAATGAAATCAGTCAACCAAGTAAGTACTATCTGCTTAGACAGGTACCAGATACTCCTTATTTTGGAGAATTTACATTCTCAAATAAAAGAACACCAGATGTTCATTTTGCAACTAGAAAGTCACCTGTTGTCAAGCCACAGAAGTCTAACAATAAAATGATCATCTGATGGTTTATAATTCTATAGAACTGGCCTAACCCAAATATTTTCAGTAAGTTTAAGTTTCAAGTAAAAAGTACTACAGACTAAAAGGGAATGCATATCAAGGGAAATGCAATGCATAAACAACCAGCTGTAATTTTTGAGATAACTAAGGAAAACTGAATTATGTACTGGCTATTAGATAATATGAAGGAATTATTTTTAACTAAAAATGTTCTATAAACAACTGCTACTTCCTATACCCTCACCTTGACAAAAACTAAATGAGGAGAAAACATGAATAACTTTTTCAATGTAGGACCAATGATGGAGAGGAAAATCATTTTGGTGGGTTTCAAATAAATAGTAGGAAATATTAATAAAATGTAGAGTAAAAAATATTGACCTATAAAGTTAAAAAGCCCCAAAGCAACATTTCATTAACAGATTAAGCATCAACTAGTAATCACCAAGTTACTCCTATCAAAAGAAATTATGACTAAAAGAAATTATGACTGAACCAAAAAATTAAACAAGTATATGTCATCCATTATACATTAAATATCAGCATGATATGACAGATAATGTTATTCTGTGATAGCCAGCGAATCATAAAGTGAGTTCTAAGCCATGATATTGCCCAGTTACAAAAATGATACTAATCATAAGAAATCCTAAAATAGCACTGTGGCAATAAATTTGCAATAAGAACTCTAAACCAAATGGCAAAATAAACAGTGAACACTAAAAATTTATCTACCACTCTCTTGGAGAGATTTAGGTTATGATGATCTTATTAGTCATTCTATTTCATAATTTCTCACCTCTTTTGGAGTTTTATGAGCTGCACAAAGAAAAATCCATTGCTCAGTTGCTGTCATCTGAGTACATGTATCTGGATGGCATTCACTCTGTTACAAAAGAGTTACATTTCTTAATACGTAAAACAATAAAAAAAAGTTTATCATTTGGGTTACTACATTTCCATGTAAAATTCTAGAATAATTAGAAATGTTGGGTAAGTCTTTGTAAACACCTTAGGTTACAAAAACAGAAAAAAATCAGAACTTCCAAATATAGCTTTAACTTAAAGAAAATATTACCTGAAGTTTGACAGCAAGTCCATTTAGTTCAAGACAGAATTGCCTAAAAATGCAAATACATAAATGAAAAGTCTTATCCATTCTCCACATTATTTTTAGAATACTAATTGCCATTAGTACCATCCTTCCTCTCTCATCACCATTATCAACACCATCTGAATTTACATGGCACATTTCTTAAAAAGACATACAGATTAGTAAGTAAAACCCAAAACTAACAATCCTAATAATGTCCAGTATCAGAGTACATTGAGTTGATCAGACTTATACACTGGAAATTCATACAATTTTTCTGAGAAGTAAATTGGAAATATATACTAAGACTCTTAGGAAGTGTATATTTTTTTCTAAGTCATTCTAAGAATTTATTCTAATAAAATAATCAAAATTCCATGCAGATATATGTACAAAGATGTTCACAGAGAATATACATAACATTTTTTTTGAAAATCAGCAATTGCAGAGTCGTAAATTGTTGGTATATACATAAACAAAGGTTATGTTTATATTCACAATAAGATTCCAGTTATGTAAAAAATTATGTGTATATATCTATACACAAACATATATAGAAAAAGGACTAGAGGCGCCTGGGTGGCTCAGTTGGTTGAGGGTCTGCCTTCGCTCAGGTCATGATCCAGGGGTCCTGGGATGTGTCCCACGTCAGGGTCCCTGCTCAGCAGAGAGCCTGCTTCCTCTCCCTCTGCCCCTCCCTGCTGCTTGTGCTGCTCTCTCTCTCAAATAAAATCTTAAAAAAAAAAAAAGACTAGACATTTATATTCCTATATATTTTACAAGTTTTGTTCCGATTACAAACACCATGCTCCTTATAAAAAGTCAAACATGAATATATAATGTACAATAAGAAAATCCTCCATAATTCTACCACCTCTTTCCAAAAGTTATTATTTACAAGTAAATTTGATTTTCTATGCAAAGATTAAAATATACTGGGATCATATCATACACAATTTTGTAACTTGTTTTTTGGTCACTTAGTAGATTGTAAGCATTTTTTTCATGATATACTTTTCTTCTACAACTGCCAAACTGAGTATTATAAAGCCTAGAACAATGCTTGGAACATAGTAAGTGTTCAAAAAACATTTTTGAATAAATGAAGAATGAAGGAAATTTCATAACATCATCATTTTTAAACAAACTTGTTATTTTATATGAAAAAACAATTAATCGTCTATGTCATAAAGCTAACTTATTCTATTGCTGTCAAAATACCAAACGCATTCCCTCTAAAAATCTTACCAAATTAATCACTATTATGTTTCCCCAACAAATGAGAACAATCTGATTCCCTAAAAATGCAAAGCGAAAACCTACAAAGGTAGAAGATAAAAGAGAGTCCCAAAGGGCAAAAACAAAACAAATAAAAACCCTGCCCACATATGAAAGAAAAACTACTTATTTAAAGTATATGATAACAGAAGAAAGCAAATAAGGAGTCAAATTTTCACTTGTCTGTGAATGTATTTCCTTTCAGATCCCTAACAATAATGCTGTTCTTAGATCACAAAAATAACACTATTTCTGAATCATCACATCACCCTCTACTGCCCCATATCTGTAGCCTGCATGTTACATATAGGTTTTTTTGTTTTGTTTTGTTTTAAGATTTATTTATTTATTTGACAGAGAGAGACACAGTGAGAGAGGGAACACAAGCAGGGGGAGTGGGAGAGGGAGAAGCAGGCTTCCCGCCAAGCAGAGAGCCCAATGTGGGGCTCAATCCCAGTACCCTGGGATCATGACCTGAGCCGAAGGCAGACACTTAACGACGGAGCCACCCAGGCGCCCCTTACATACAGGTTTTTGAGTTGTTTTCCACTAAGAGGTAATAAAGACAGGTGGTGAAAAATAAGTTTCCCATCTAGTTTAGCTCACTTATGGACCAACAGCAAAATTAAGCTACTGATTTGGCAGTGTTATGGGTACAAACTGTGGCACACAGTACAAATATAACAGCTTCAAGTTAATTCATCATAGGGCTAACACATACAGTTGTGCAGCTGAAGAGACAAACCAGAGCTGAAATCCGGCCTACACTGTAATCTCTAAACCATGGGGGATCCTGACATAGGATTGTATCCACTCAGAAGGGGGGGAAAGGGACATCTTTTCCTAATTACAAAGATTCCATATGGGCTAGTGAGAGATTTGAATGAAGTCCTGTTAACATCATAATATTAACCAATGAGAGCAAGTATTAAGCCTCAAATCAATTACACCAAGTACATGAAAAAAACCAAAAAGCTACTTTTGAAACTCTTCTTGGTGAACTATAAAGATGTATACACTATGATAAAAACATAAAAGAATATATGTGATGTATAATACATAAATATCAAACCAAAATAAATTGGATAGTATTCAAGGGAAAAAATAAAAATAACAGTATCAGAACAGAACAGGATAAAGATTTTATAAGTTTTGTATATTGCATATTTTGTAGTCTAAGTTAAATAGGGAGAAGTAGGGGTGCCTGGGTGGCTCAGTCGTTAAGTGGCTGCCTTCGGCTCAAGTCATGATCCCAGGGTTCTGGGATCGAGCCCCGCATCGGGCTCCCTGCTCGGCGGAGAGCCTGCTTCTCCCTCTCCCTCTGTCTGCTGCTCTGCCTACTTGTGCTCTCTCTCTGTGTTAAACAAATAAATAAAAATCTTAATAAATAAATAAATAAATAAATAGGGAGAAGTTCTTAGATCTGAAATTAAGATCTTGTATACTAAAATCAGTCCTTGGGGGTACCTGTCTGGCTCAGTCAGTAAAGCATGTGACTCAATCTCAAGGTTTCAAGCCCCATGTTGGGTATGGAGCCCTATGATCAATCAATCAATCTAAATCTGTGAACTCTAACATCAGCCCTCACTTGTTTGGAATTATACTTGTAGTGGAAAAAACATCCTCATTTATTTTCATCATTAATCCCAAGAGGTAAGTAGGTAGTTATTTTCAAAGCTAATTCAAGTAAGGCAAAGAATATGCACTGAAGTGTTATCTTGATTTATAGGAATGGGAAAATATCTACATATTCATACTTTCAATTATCATGTATTAAGATGTGGTTTTAAAAAACTAGACCGGGATGACTGGCTGGCTCAGTCGGTGGAGCATGCAACTGTTAACCTTGGGGTTGTGGGTTTGAGCCCCATGTTGGGTGTAGAGATTACCTAAAAATAAACTCTTAAAAAAACAAAACAAAACAAAACCTGTATCAATTAGTCAAGTGGTATGTCCAAGAAACTGGCAGAATACAAAAAAGTCTTAAAAACCTGATATTGCTGAACTGTTATGACAAGACATGTCTTAACAATGTCTAGCAGGAAACGTGATCTATTTAGGGCAAGTCCTATTTCTACTCCACTTATTACTTAAAAATCAACTCAAAAAGTAACAAACCCTGATGAACATATATCTCATGCTACATTCTTTATATTTAACCTATCAACTCATCTCAGTTCCCATTTATAGTGGGAAGTTTGTAACTTCTGGAAACAACTTAGTAACTTCAGGATTTAGCTGCTTTGAAAGTTAACTCTAGTTAACTAATCATTCACTAGTCATCAATTCTCTCATTCAAAGGGCATCATGAAAAGTGCCCAAACTCCTTACTTCAGAATTACAATTAATCTTTAAAGATTTATTTATTTGAGAGAGAGAGAGAGAATGAGCACATGTGTACACATACGCTTGCAATCCTGGGGGAGGGACAGAGAAAGAGAATCTCCAGCAGACTACTCACTGAGTGAGGGGCCTGACGGGGGCTCGACGTCATGACCCTGAGATCATGACTTGAGCTGAAATCAAGAGTCGAACACTTAACCTACAGCCACTCAGGTGCCCCCAGAATTAAAATTAATCTTTATTTATCACATGGAGGACTAGAAGTTCACAGTAGTTAATAGGCAACTCATCAGATACCAAGCCTAGACTAGGACCTTCTTGTGATCCTCTATAGAGAAATAAAGTTAGTATGAGTGGATAAATAGAAATAATGCATTTGTGATTAAGGGATAATTTGTGGTTAAGAAAAACTGTGTAGAGGCGCCTGGCATGGCTCAGAGCATGCAACTCTTGATCTTGGGGTTGTGGGTTCAAGTCCCACGATGGGTGTAGAGATTACAAGAAAAAAAGAGAGAGAAAGAAAAAGAGGGAAGGGGGGCGAGAGGGAGACAGAGAGAAAGAACAAAAGAACAAAAAGCTGTGTAAATAGATAATAATGCCCATACCCATAAATGAAGAAAACAATCACAAAGTTGAAAACTTTATCACATTGAAAACACAAAAGCTTTTAAATTTGGCTTTTTAGTCTGTGACTACATAATGATTTTATTTGCAATTCATAATCATCAACATTAAAGGTTATTTTTACAAGTGGAAGTACTATTACTATTTTGATATATCATGAAGATTTACCTTAAATGTTCGTATTTCCATACACCTTCATCTTGGCCTTCAGGTGGTTCAAGAATTTTGTCAATATTGGAACAATCTGCTCGTATGTTTTGTTGAATATACTATAAAAAAAAAGTTCTCAAAGTTAATTAAAATATTATACTTCATGATAAATCTTATGTTAAATATATTTAATTTCTGAATACATGGCTGCTCTTATGTTCCAACATTTCTGGGTTATACATAAAATAGGAAACCACGTACAGAATCATAATCACTAATTCAGAAGAAAGGAGGTAACCCTTACCTATGCTTTCTCCAATTCAACTTCTCTGGGATATGATCTACCATGTAAGTGCAGATATGGTACTCACCAGGACTGGATGTGGGATCAAAACTGTAAACTATAATTTTCATAAAAACATAAAATGTAGACAATATAATTTTGGTACATAATATAGGATTCCACTAATATCAATTATCTAGAACAGGCAAATCTAGAACAGGCAAATCTATGGAGACAAAAAATAGTAGTTGTTTAGGACTAAGGAAAGAAGAGGAGACAAAGGAGAATGGAGATAACTGCTAATGTGAATGACATTTCTTTCGGGTGGGGAATGAAGATGTTCTAAAATCAGATTGTGGTAATGGTATACAACCCTGTGAATATACTAAAAACCATGTACGTGGGCGCCTGGGTGGCTCAGTCGTTAAGTGTCTGCCTTCGGCTCAGGTCATGATCCCAGGGTCCTGGGATCGAGTCCCACATCGGGTTCCCTCCTCGGCGGGAAGCCTGTTCTCCCTCTCCCACTCCCGCTGCTTGTGTTCCTGCTCTCGCTATCTCTGTCTCTGTCAAATAAATAAATA